TTCATAACACTGAGACTGCTTGAGAGTCAGGCACTGAGAAGCCAGAAGCTGACAAGGCAGAAGAGCAACCCCATTTCTCCTTCTCCCTTTAAGAGTCAGGTAACATAAATGAGTAGGATGCAGGGCAGTGCTTGAATTCTCCAGAGCAGAGACAAAAGTCTTCCCCTCTACCTTAATGTAGAGCAGAATGCACACTTTAATGTAAACATTTACCTGAAAACACAAATTTATGCATTATGTGGATAATTCAGCTCCTTCACAGATGGAAAAGTAGCTGGAAAACAGTAGTCCCAGGAATAGTTCTTTAAAGGCATCTGGAAAGATGACTAGTTTGAAGTGGGAGCAGTGCCCTAGCTGAGGGGAAAGCTCAGGAACTGCTTCACCCCCAGCATGTGCTGGGAGAAGCCGTGCTGCTTTCCCTTCCTTCCTGCCTCTACCTGTGAGAGCAAGGTGTAGCCACAGGGTGAGTTAGCAAACTGATAACTATATCACTGAGTGGGTAAGTTTCCCATGAGATAAGTAGCATGAAAGAAATCACCCTGCAATCACACAAGCATTAGATCTGCCAATGGAGCTGCAACAGAATGGGGGACAAGGCAGGACCACCCAGAGGTGCCTCTGATGAGGTACCTGCAGCACCAAACTGCCTCCAAAGCCTCCAGCATCAGACTCTGCCCTCCAAGGGTGAATCTTCTGGTTAATTTTCAATCCATAACAAGTTTATGAAGAAGTTTAAATTTTAAAAGAAGCATTTCGCATTTATTTCTTACAGAGTTATTTAAATACGTAGAAAACATACTACAATCACGTATGACAGACATAGAGCTTCAACTTTGAAGAGCTGGGATTTGTGCCAGTACACTAAAAACCTGCTGGATAGTTCAAATCATCATCTTAGCTTACTGCTGGATATTTCACATTAGCATTATCAGATAAGGTCAGTTATTCCAAAGAATCAAAGTTCCCACAATGCTAAATTAAATGCATGTGGAACACATTCAACCTAAACTAGAACAGACCCCTCACACAGAGATCCCAAAGAACATCCAGGAAAAAGGAACTGGGTTGAAATTCACATGTTTATCCTTCCTTTCTTCGACCTATAGGATTCTAATAGTTAATCATTATTACTCACACACCCCAAAAATTCTGCCAAATTTTTTCATTACATGGCACCTCACTTTTCTCATAACAACAGTTTGCACTTGACCAGATAGAGGTGTTAATCAAGCTCATTTACCACATAATATGGTTTTCATTTGCCATGATGTAAATCCTGGTCTGTGATTTCTGAGTAATAGACTGCTAAAATCAGTTTATTTTCCTCACCAAGAATAAAGGAACTAAGTTCTTCTCTTACTTCCCTGCAAAGATGGAAATTCACATTCATAACAGAACTAACATGATGAGAGGTTGAGCACTGCATTATTTGTTAAAATACGTTAAGTCCTCCAAGCAAGGACAGGCATCCAAATCATCCCACCCCGGTTTTAACCAGGAGACCCGTGAAACACATTCCCATAAGCTTTGTGCCAACTGCTTTTCTTCTTGCCTGGTGGAACAGCTTAGACAGGACCTCTGTCCTAAAGCAGCTCACACCTCCCACCTTCAAGCAAATAAAGAGACTTCCAAGAGGCAAGACAAACAAGTACGTATACGCCAGCAGGCAGGAGCCAAAGCAAGGTGCCTGACATCACAGGTGAATAGTCCTGCTGCTTTGCCTACTGACAACCAGTTCTGCTCCTGGTCCCATCCACACCTGCACAAAAAACAACGGCAGTTTTGCCCTGTTGATGGCCTTCCATGTGGATCACTATCCGGGCACCCTTCAGCACAGGGGCCCTTCAAAAGGGAGAGCAAAACACACAACCTGACAGCTCCAGCAGGCACGGGGCACCTGGTGAGACTGATGCTCTTGAATACGGAAATAGGGAAGGTTTTAAGTTTTCCCCAACATTTAAGCAACTAGAAGTTGGGGCAAAGGCTCTGAGAACTTCTTTGAAAGCAAAACTTCTGGTCACAACCTGTTTTCATTTCTACTTTCACCTGTACATAAGCTTTCTCACATTTTAAAATATTTCACGGTAAAGAAACCAAGCAGAATAGCTTCAAAAATGGAGAGTGTGTTGGCCTTGCCAAACAGATCTCACATTTCACAACTACAGAACATGTCACCAAGCAGCTGCATCAATCACAAAGAAGTTAAAACAAAAGCCCCAAGGAATCAAATGACCATTGTCATCAGTATTAACAAAGCACCGTTTCCACAAAAGGAAACAAAATTACATATTTCCTACAGCAAGTTTTAAACAAAAACATTGATAACACAGATCAGTAGCTGGTCCATTCTTCAAAAAGTAGTACAGCCAAGTCACTTTACCGCAGCTTCTCAAAACAGGCATCGAGGACATCAAATTCATTACAGGACACTGAACATAAAAAAATCACTGAAATTTTCTGACTATTAGTCTTCTGAAATACACAGGCCATTTAAAGAAGTCCGGTTTAAATTTGCAAGTTCCTCTTGGCTTCAAACAGATTCCTTCCTACCCCATAATCCAAAAGATATCTTCAGGAAATCCACTTCTGAAACAGTCTTGTCACCAATACCAAGTCACACATTCCAATTTCCTGTATCTCCCATCCCAATGCTCTTACAGCCTGGTTCCCTTGTCAGACAGAACCTCCTGACACAGGATACAGGCTGTCCACACTATGACATAGGCACTCTTTTCTCTCAAAACATACTACCATGTAAAGCTCTAAGAGACAAAGCTTTATGAAAAAAATTCAGATGAAACTGGAAAAATTATCAATTTTCCTGAATGCCCACTGAAAGCATGCCTTTGCTTCCAGAGACTACAATCTAATACAGTTTAATTACTTCATAGTTTTTAAAAGATACTTTGCTTAGGGATAGGAAATATACCAAGGAAAGTTTCTTCCACAGTAGTGTTTTTAATTTATCCATAAAGCTCTTATCTCCCAATTTTAATAAACCTGTTCCATCACAAATAGTTAAAAAGAAAACCAAAAAAAAAAAAGTTTCCAGTCAGTATTCTGACAGTGCAATACATCTGTGAGAATTAAAGCTGAGAGAACCTTGAAAGGAAAGCAGAACATATGTTGCCCCATCTATTAAAGCTCTTACCTCCCACTCACACTGACACCCATCCACACTATGCCAGGTCTGTGATAAAGGCATCTATCCCTGAGAACCCAGCCCCAGGCTGCCAAAATCAACTTTGATAAGCTATTAAGAGTAATTAGAAAAGTTTTGCACTATTGATACAGTGAAACAGCCAAACACCAAATATGTTCTGGGGCTGTTTCTTTTAAAACAAACGCTTCGTAATTGTTCAATTTCTGCCATAGTGCAGTTTCACAGAAAGTTTTGCCAGCACAGACATATCATCTAAAAGAGTAGATAAAAAAAAAAAAACAAACACAAAACCAAAACATATACTAAGCATCACAGTTACTTCAGCAACAGAACAACCACGAAAAAGCCAAGCATTTTTGACAGTTTTGCTTGTGGTGTTTGAGGAGGTGAAAGAATAGTGCTAGCAGAAACACTTCTAGCAGAACACATTGTGGATTCCTTTGGAGTCTCTACCAACACACTTCTTGGTAGTCTGGACTAATTATACCTTTCCAACAGCTGGACCACACTAAGAATATATAGCCCTGGAGGTAAGATCATTTATCTCCTATTTCAGGCAAGAAAGGTTACACTTGTAGATCCAGATATCCTGGGCTTGATCACCACTGTCAAAGAAAGATATACAAGTATCGTATTATACTGAGATACACTCAATATGAGATAGCCTTTGTATTTTAGTTTTTTTTTAAGAACTCAAACATTTTTCTCAGCCTGTTGGAAGACAAAAGAAAGAAAAAAACATGCTTGTTACTAGACTTCATAGAACCATAGAAGGGTTTGGGTTGGAAGAGACCTTAAAGATCATCTAATTCCAATCCCCCTGCCATGAGAAGGGACATCTCCCAGCAGACCAGGTTGCTCAACGTCCCATCCAACCTGGCCTTGAATTCAGGTGGAAAAGGCAAGGCTTTACTTTGTATGCTTAATCCCACCCTGCTTCTGGACAGTTCAAGTGCCAGAACAACAAACTCCTGCAGCAACTACATCTCACTTCCCCCCCTGAGCTTTACACACTGCCTGGGTAGTGATACCAGCTGAACATACTCCCTTCCTCGACTTCACCCGATTCAGCCCTGTCTGGTGCAAGCCAAATCCTCACAGGCTCTTTGAGATGATCCCCGTGCTCTTCACCACTCCGCAGACAAGCTCTGCTCTAATTCATGGGACTCCAGTGTAAACCACATAAGGGAACCTGGGCATTGCCCCTTTTTTTTCTTGCTGGGTACATGTGCTGATCTGCTTCATACATCACCAGAAGTTGTGGCAATGATACTATAAATTGCAGAAGCCTCCAAGACACTATTACTGCTACAGATTAAGTACAGCTGAACTACGGCCTCAGATGACTTTCAGTTTAGTGAATCTTTTACAGAAGAGCAGAAGAAATTCTTTAAAGCAATAATAATAAAAAAAGTGCTGGCTGGGGCGAAGTCACTTTAATTCATTTTTGACACCTAGTGTCAGGCCAAGGCTCACTAGAAGCAGTCTTGCTTCTTTGAAGCAGAGCAGCATGCTAATTTGTGCTGGCAGCTCACTACAATTTTTTGAACTTCAGAAGTGGAGGAAAATGTTGAGAAGCATAGTTTTGGAAATCACAGAATCAAAGAGATCACAAGAAGTGCATTCAGGATAGCACTTAATCCTAGTTACTACCCAAACTTTTTTTACTATCAACACTCTGCAGCATATTCCAGTATTAAACAGGACTGCAGAACAGGCTTTACCATGAAATCAGAGAAGTGGGAAGAGTGCCCTGAAGGTTATTCATTAGCATTATCTCTATGTGTAGCTCACTGGGGAAAGAATAAGGAAGACTCCTCGATGCCATTCTATTCAAATGTATGAGGCATATTTAAACGGGTAAGGGAGATATTTCTGATGCAGACTTGACAGAAGGTCCAAGTCAGCATCAGTTTCATTAACACTCAGGTTGAAGAGCCCTTTGCCATACAAAACTGAAAAAGATGTGCACCTTGCATCTCCTGAATTATACAAAGCACCCGAGCCAAGACTCCGTGGGTTCTCAAGTTAACATTGCACTTTTCTTGCGGAGGTGAAAAGTCCTGAACAGCACCTACTAAAAACAGAGCTTGGCCTAAATTTTACGCGAACAGGGAGAAGAGGAAACTGGCGAGTTAATTACAACCTACGCTACATCCCCATTTCTAATGGCCGCATCTCAAAACTAACCCCCAAAACTCCTTCCCGCACCCAGACCTCATCCAGTCTATTTAAAGACCAAGGGAACAATAAACCCTGACGAGCAGAACGGGCCGGGGGAAGGAAGAGAGCGATTACAATGGCTGCACAACAAAGCCTGGAAAAGGGGAGTTAAAGACACTTTTCCCGAGTGGCACAAGCCGAGCGGCGCGGTCCGCACACACCGCCGGGGCACCCCCGCTCCGCTCCCGGCCATTCCCAGCCTGGAGCCCCGTCCTGCCGGACCCCAGTCCCTGCCCCGACAGCCTCCCCCTTTCCAGCCACCTCACCCCCCGGGGCACGGGCACTCCCGCTCTCCCCCCGCGCCAGCGCAGCCCCCGGCAGGGCACCCCGACCGCAAGGGGGGCACCCCCTTCCTCCCTCCCAGCAAGCGGGGTCTGCCCCACCGCAACACCCCTCGCACCGCAGTTACCCCCCGCAGAGCGCAGCCGGGACACCCCGCTCCGTCCCGCACGCAGGGAGCCCTCGCCGCCCGCAGCGCTGCCCCTCCACGGCCGGGGCAGCCCCCGCGGCGACCCGCACCCACCGCGCACCGCTCGCCGAGCGCGGCCCCGCTCTCCCCGCGGAGGCCCCGCAGGACGCAGCCACCCCGGGACCCCGCGCGGGGCAGAGCCCGGGGAGGTGTTCCCGCCGAGCGCCCTCACCTGCGGGAGCGGCCCCGGCCCGGCCCGGCCCCGGCGCGGGCCCCGCTCCGGAGCGTCCCCGAAGTGGCGCGCGCGGCCCCGCTCCCCGCGCCCGCCCCGCCCGGCCTCGCGTCACCGGCGCGGCGGGGCCCGCGCACCGCGCGTGCGCGCGCGGCGGGGGCGGGGCCGCGGGGGCGAGGAGGCGGGGCTGTTGAAGAGGGGGCGGAGCCTCCGTGAGGGAGGGATGGAGGGTCGAGGGGCAGCGGGACGGGAGGTGTGCTGGATCCAGGAGAGCCGCTGAGGGAGCGGGGAGCACAGCGACAGGCTGCTGCGGTCACTGAGTCACAGAATCGCACGACGGTTTGGGTTGGAAGGGACCATAAAGATCATCTCGTTCCAAGCCCCCTGCCATGGGCAGGGACACCTTCCAACTCCCGCCATCCCAGGTTGCTCAAAGCCCCGTCCAGCCTGGCCTCGGACACTTCCAGAGATGTGGCAGCCACAGGGTCTCTGGGCAACGTGTGCCAGGGCCTCACCACCCTCACAATAAAGAATTTTTTCTTAATATCCAACCTAAACCTACTCTCAGTTTGAAGCCGTTCCCCCTTGTCCTATCGCTACAGTTCCTGATGAAGAGCCCCTCTTCGGCTTCCTTGTAGTCCCCCTTCAGACACTGGAAAGCTGCTTGCTAAGTCCTTGGTGACTTAGAGAATGCAAGTGATAGGTGTACAAAAACATCTCCTTGTGTTCTCCAGAGACTCCATTTGGGATCAGCAGTATTGCCAAGCAAAGGGCAGCCCCGAGCTGCTCTCCTGACCACAGTGTTTGCTGCTGGAAAGCTCAGAATTGCCTTACCTGCTCTCATAAAGCTGCTGGATGGTAACCCTGAAGTTTCTTCACAGTCCTCTCTTTCATGTAGCAACAGCTTTGATTTGGGAACTGCTGTTCTTCTGCCATTCTGCCTGTATTGTTTCCTGTAAACACACCTTTAATTACTGAACCCCCAACATTTAGCAAATTTTTGGCTGCAGGTAATCTTAGAGCAAATAGAGCCTTAGTTAAACCCAGTCAACCCTAATGAAGTTGCAGGAATTCCAACAATGCAATTGAGGGCAAAACTTGATGCAAAACTAATTATGAAGCCATATGTAGCCTCCAAGACTGCAACCAGCTCCTCATCACAGCTCTGTAACATCAGCTTGATAAGTGTCCTTGGCTTGAACGGTGCCAGCCTGAGCCCTAAAGGGAAGGCTGAACAACTTTTGGGACCACACCACAACATTAGAGAGTTGCTTGTTTTAAAGCTCTTTTTTATCTGGATATTATTTTACGTTGGCTTATCAAAGTCAGTGCAGCATCTATCTCAGAGTGGAGATACCCTGGTTGAGTAACTCTCTAACAGATTTTGCTATGGGCAGTTTCAGGTTCACTTCTGTTCTCTCCACATCATTAGCAGCAACTGAAGCAAATTCAGGTTCAGGGAACCAACTCATCTCTACACTCAAGCTGACAAGAAAATCAGTATCTCGTTTGCAGAAGAAAGCATTTTTGTGTATGTTTTTCCTACTTCTGTCCTTGAAAATAACCTCTTGCATAAGCCAGCACCTGTCTTGACTTATCCTTACAAAACTTTGGGACTTTGCAAAACACACCTCCACTGAGAAGATGTATTCACCAACATTTCCTATTAAAGTATGCTTACAGAATAGTTCCTTTCAAAACAACATTCTAAGTATTTACCCTGACAAATCTGTCATTTGATAATTATGCTGAACATAATTTGGTGTAGCAATATACGTTTTCAGCAGCTAAGAGCAGTATAAAGAATGAACAGTTATCAGTTCAGACAGAGCAGGTTTATATCCACCTCATAATCATTTTGCATTGATATTACAGATTATAAAGAGAGAATAGTATCCATTAAGCAACAGTATTTCCTATTCAGAAATTTTACAGCTTGGTTTTGTCTCAAAAGAAAACATGTACCCACCACCATTTGAGCTCAAAACAATTCACTCTGAACATTTGTCATAAGTTGTAACAGAATCTGTTATGAAGCAGAACACAGAATTTGGGTAGAGGAGGAACTAAGCTCTATTGGGTTTTAATTGCTTGTGACAATGTTGAGTCACTATTTGTAGTTCTGCAGATAATTACTGGTGAACTTAGGTTGAGCATACGAGAGCTGCAGCGCACTTGTAGTGAGTACCCACACGTGTGTATTTAAGGCAGCATTCCATTTCAACCAGCATCACCTGCCAAAGTGAACTGTAGCATCCATGACCCCTTCTCCAAGTACAATGCTACAGGAGAGGATGCATCTCTGTGCTTCCAGCCGTGAAGTGCAGTGAGCTCACCTGCCGCATCAACACTTTTTATTTCCTCTTACTTTCTGCATTCTGCAATCAGAAAAGTTACTTTCAGGATTTATACTTTTTCTATACTGAAAATTTTCTGTGTAGGATAGATCTGCATATTCATGCTACAGTAACAGCCTCACAAAATTAAAATCATTCTAAAATGAGAGGCGAGGTGCATATTTGTCAAGCAGTAAACACTGAAAATGCTTTGTGGTAAAAGAATCATTCATTTTAAGTATTTTTAAAGCTAGCTTTCCCCCTCAAGACAGCTTGATACCAGCTTGACACACGGTACATTTCCAAAATTCACTGACTACTCTGGTCCCTGCTAATGCAAACAAATCCTACAGAGCTGGAGTAGAAAGTGACATCTGCTGAGTACAGGCAGTTCCTGAGTTCGTGGCTGTTCCTGCAGACTGGCATCCCATTCCAAAGGCCAGGACGTGCAGATGGAAGCTGCTTGGCAGCTGACCATCTGGAGTGGCTCTGTGAGTACTACTCCAGCCTCCGAGAGGGATAAAGCGATTTAAGCAGCAATAAGTCATGTTTGCTGAGGCAAATAAAGCCTCATAAAAATCTTTTCCAGAGTGGAGAGTACCTGCACCCTATTCTTGCTGTTTTCCCATGGTGTGAATTGGAAATTTCCCCAAGAAGGTTACCAAAATAAAAATCTCTAGAGAGTAGAACAGTGCTCTACCATGTTGTCCTACTCCATCCCCACTTCCAAAAGCACCCAGGAGCCACCAGCCACTTTCCAGGAACATCAGCAAGGAAAGCCTTCCCACTTCCAAGATATTTCCTGAAAGGAAGGACAGCTTGGCAGCCTCTCTCTCTGTCCAGAGATGCAAACATCAATATACCTTTGGTGCCAAGCATAAAAAATGGAAATTCCAGCTTCCAGCCCCATTCTTTAGGGCAGAGAAATGGGTATTACCTTCCTCACCACAGTGCTGGTCTGTTCAGAGTCAGCAGAAGCTCACAGAACCACACCATGCCTGCCTAGACAGCTGCAGGCAGCCCTCGAAAGCAAATTACACCAAAATATATATTAAAGCTTTGTGGAAAAGATATATGAAATGTCTCTCCTTGCAGAGTCAGTGCCTTTGCATTACAAAAGTACTAGATATCAGAGTTGTTCCCAGTGCTTGGAAGAGGAAATAACTTCCTGTTATGTGCTGGCACACAAAAGCATTTTGAATTACAATTATAATACAGATAAACCTTGCATATGCAAGTCCTGATTTTCAACCTTTTTTCACCTTCCACGGCCATTTTCACAAATGTAAAACTGAGGGTAAAACACCGACCTAAAGATTAATTTTTCTTGATGCCACTTTGAATGTCTCATCTCTTTTTGCCCTCAGTGTTTTGTCTCTCTTTGCCCTCCATACAGTCACCCACCCCAGAAATGGCAATTACTGGGACAGCAGGGAATCACAGACAGTTTGGACAGCCTACCCTCCTCTAGTAGGTAAATCCAGAGCAGAACAGGGAAGAAATTAGTGTAAACATCATTGCTACTCTAAGAGAAACATTTCCAATGTAAATGGAGCATCTCACTAGAGAGATACAGTCAAAATATTAAAATATGTAGGAAGGGGGAATTATTTTGACCACTGAGCATTAAAATTCATCAGGGTGGGGGGAAAGGCAGAAAACATTTTGGCTACAATTGATCTAAACCTCAGGAGTTCGGGAAGACAAATGAAATGTGAAAGGAGTGGAAGGAAAGATGGGGAAATCAGAGAAGATGACTGCAGGGAGTACAGTCCATAACTAGCATTCAGGCAGAAAGGAGGCCATCCAGAGCAAGCAGAGATTTAAATGCCTTAAGGATTTGGAGTGGTTCTAAAATTTAACCTAACAACTACAAAGACAGTATCTGACCTAAATACATCCTTACATCGTCCGGTGCAACAATAACCTCTATAGTTTGAGACCATGAAGGACTGATATAAAAGCAGCACTGACATTTTAATGCTATTTTTAAACCTCATACATTATAAGATTGATGATTAAGTTATTCTTTTCAAGACACACCAGCAGATTTTAGATTCTGTATCATGCCAGCTTTGCATAAACAGGTGAAGTGAGGATCAGACAGTCCAGAGGTCCATCAACCAGGGTATAAGTTCTCATGGTGGACACACAAAATGTTTTTTACCCACTTTGTCTTGCAAAGCACGATTGCAACATTTATATTTGCATCAAGGACTCCCTCATCTTCGGTTGACTACATTGTTTTGAAAGCCTTCCTTGGGATCATAAGCAGTGACAAATAACAACCTTTACCAGCTGCAATCTGCCAGTCCCAGCCCCAAGTCTTCCCTCACCTCAAAGGATTTCACTCAAAGAAAATAAATAGCAGTGGAACTTGTCATTTCCTCTGAAGTAATTTTGGATTTTATCGTGTTTTTCCTCCAGCTAAACTCAGTGGAGCAGAATTTTAGATTTGGAGGAATAGCTATTTTAAAAATAGATTTCTTCATGCTATAAAATGTTACAATAAAGTATCACTATCAAAAGATCAAAGATTGTTTTTCCTCAGTTGCAGTAGAGAGCCATTTGGGAGCTGGGGCAGGTTGCAGATTGTGCCTGAGAACTCGATGCAGGTCTCAGTCAAGCTATTTTTTTTGGTAATTCAGATATTCTCCCACGACAACATTCATTTTTAAGGAATACAGAAACTTTCCTGTAAGTCTTTCCTTGCTTGCTCTCTTTCAGATTTATAATTATAAAAAGGAGTGGGTCAACTTAGTATTTTAGTTATAAAATTTCTCTACATCCCTTTTTCTTGATTTCTTACACACATTTTGAGACAGTCCAGAGAGGGGTGGGAATTTGAAGTTTGAGACATAGATTTCCAGAAAGTACAAA